AAGGTCCAAAACAATAAAATTATGCCCATCAGTTTGGGCTCAGTCATGCTGCACAACGACCTGAAAATCTCCTGGTTTCCAGCAGTTCATGTTAATTTCTTTTTTTTTTTAATATTTATTTATTTTTATTTATTACATTTATTTATTGTGTGTGTGTGTGGCCAGCTCAGCCCACCAGGGGGCGGGTCTGGCTGGCATGTGGTGCTGGGGATCGAACCGCGGTCCCTGTGCTTTAGCCAAGCTTGTTTCAAGTAGGTGCTTTAGACCACTGAGCCATCTCTCCAGCCCCTCATGTTAATTTCTCTCTCGCTGTCACTGCCGTTGAGGGGTGGGTGAGGACAGACAGTTCTGTCCTGGAAGTGGATGATGCCACAGAAATAGCCTGGTAACATGGGTTTTCACTGTCAGAGAGGCCCAAGGAGGGGAAGCAGATGAACCCCTCCTATCCATGGGTTCCTGGGCCCCAAATCTGCTGACTCAATGGCTTTGCTGTTGCTGCTGTTTTGAGACAGATTCTGACTAGACAGCTCAGGCTGCTCTTGAACTCATAATCTTCCTGCCTCAGCTTTCTGAGTATTGGGACTGCAAGGGTGTGCCAGCACCCCTGACTCAGTGAAAAAATATCTGGGGAAAAATTGCATCAGTACTAAACATCCTGCTAACAATACCATCTAACCAGTATCCACATAGTATTTGCCCTGTATTAGACACTGTAGGTCAGCGATGATTTAAAGCAAACACCACACCATGTAAGGCACTGAGCAGCCACATAGCTTAGTATCCAAGGGGGTCCTGGGACCAGCCCCCTCCCCCACGTGCAGAGAGATGACTGCCCAGACACAGAGCCTGAGCCACCCAGCACCGCACAGGAATGGTGGCTTGGAGGTCCAGGCAGAGGCCACAGAGAGGTCAGGGTTTTGCCTCAGAGGCAGGCCAACACCCCTGGCCTCTTTTATTTCTTATCTGGAGAGAGGGTCTCACTAAATCACTAAGTGGCCCAAGCTGGGTTTGAACTTGTGATTCCCCTGCCTCACCCTCTTAAGACTGTTGGGATTACAGGCACACATGATTCACATCCTCTTCCAGTGACCCAGTCTGCAAAAGAAATGACAAAGGTGGCCCTGCCTGGTTCACGTTACCTGGGAGATGGGGAGGCGGATCAATTGCTGGCATCCTTCTGTATGTGACGACTGGGTCCTTCCAGCTGTAGCCACACTGACCCTACATTCCCAATGTCTCTAATCATTTTAGCACTAAAGGGAGCTGTTTATCGCCCCCCTTTTTTTCCCTTTGACACAGGGTCATCCCTATGTAGTCCAGCCTAACCTTGAACTCTCAATAGCCCAGACTGACGTCAACCTTGCAGTGATCCTCCTGCCTCAGCCTCCCAAGTGGCAGGATTATAGGCACATACCACCACATCTGGCTGTCACCTTTTCCTGTAGGGTAAGAAAGACAATGACAACCAAGTCCTAGTATGAAGGAGAAGAACCCTGTGAGTGGATGAGCCAGGCTAGGGCTGAGATGTGGAGAGAAGGCCCCCAATTCCTTCCTTGATCCCCACGCCCCCATCTCCTCCTGACCCTGTGTTCTTAGCACAAGCAGAGACAGCACCACTCGGAGCTCCTGAACCGGATTGATGACCGGGCCACTTGGGACACATTTAACAACTGGATTTTGGGCTTCCACTTCCTCTCATCTCATCCTGACACATCAGGTGAGGGAGGATCCTGGCTGAGTCACAAAGTGATGGTGTCATCCTGAGCTGGCCTGGCTCTCACCCAGCCCTCCACACGGCCCCGTGAGTTGGCCCAGCAGCCCCATCTCAGGTAGCACAAGCCCTGGCAGCGGGGAGAAACTGGAGTGGGCCTAGGTCATCTGACAGGGTACTGCGCTGGCCTGGGCTTGCTTCTTGGGTATCAAGATCAGGGGAAGGCTCAGGAAGAGGTATCCCGGGCAGTACGGGCACCCCGAATGGTCCTGGGGATGCAGGAGCTGGTGGGGGCATCCCCTGAGCTCAGTCCCCGCGCCCGGCCCCCATGTGACCTAGGCTCACACAGCCACCACGTGTTGCAGACCCAAGACATCTTCCTTCTTCACCTGCCAACCTGCGGGTGAGTCCCTCCGGCTGGCACAGGCCTCACTCCTCTCTGTGTCTGGTGCAGGGCCTGGCACACCACTGCTGCAGGCTGAATATTTCATGACTAACAGTGAGGGAGCAGCACATACCATGTTACGTGGGGTCAAGGGGGGGCTGGCAGTCACACCGGGCAGGCACGCGGGAGAGGCACGTGCTCACCCCGGAGGTGGGGACCTTGTCACCTGCCACCTGTCAGCTGCTGGAGCTGAGCAGCACACCGGCAGGGGCTTGGCACCTTGGCACCCATTGAAATGTTAGGGCATTAGGGTTAGGGAGTCTCTTCCTAGAAAATGCCCTGCCCCCCATCTCTGTCTCTGTCTCTGTCTCTGTCTCTGTCTCTGTCTCTCTCTCTCTCTCTCACACACACACACACACACACACACACACACACACTAGTCCTTCCAAAACCAGAAGTTTCCTTTCTCCCTGTCTTATTTTCCTTTTTAGTTCTGCTACTGGGATTGAATCCCGTGGTACTTTACCACTGAGCTACATCACCAGCCCCTTTTATTTCTCCTTGTTTTTCATCTTTGGATTTTTTGAGACAGGGTTCAGGCTGGCCTTGAGCCCACAGCAATCCTCCTGCCTCAGCCACCAGTGCTGGGGTTGCAGGTATGCACCACCACACCTGGCTTGCTTCTGTCTTTTTTATTTATTTTGGGATAGGGTCTCACTAAGTAGCCCAGGTGCAATTCAAGCTTCAGGTCCTACTGCAGTGATGGCGAATCTTGTAGAGACAAGTCCCCAAACTGCAAGCCCAAACCCACTTATGCATAGCGAAGTGCCAACGCTACAACTAAACCCGAATACTGAGGTTTTAGTTTAGGAAAAACAAAAACAAAAACACCTCACTCATTAACATCTTTTTTAAAAAATGTATTTGATTGTTGCAGAGTCTCACTACACAGGACTCGTGGTGATCCTCCTGCTTTCAGCATCCCCAGCACTGGGATTACGAGTGGCGCCACCACTGCAGACTCCGATGGGCTCAGCCTGCCCTGGGGGTGGGCGCTGCACGTGCTGCCGGGAATCGAACTGAGGTCCCTGCACTTGCCTAAGCTTGCCTAAGCAGGCGCTTTAGTCCACTGAGCTACCTTGCTGGCCCTTTTTTTCTTTTGGTCTTAAAGAAAATAACACACGCACCGTAGGTTCACCATCACAACCGCCTGCCTCACCCTCCCAAGAGCTGGGATGACATCGTGCGCCCTCATGCGCACAAAGCTTCTTGTTTTTATGGGGAAAATGCCAGCTACTGAATATAGAAGGACTGACAGAATCAGAAATTATTGTGCAACCCCCAACTTAAGAACTGAGTTGGGCATCACTAACAGAATCCCGAATCATGGGGCAAAGCAAAGGGGAAGAGGACATTTGCAGAGTCTTTGGGTACCATGTTACAGTTAATAAGCTACTTAATTTCAAGGAAAAAAAATCTCCCTGTACAACGGGAGGGAGACTCACGGCACCCAACACCTTAATCAAGGGATCAAAACTAGCATTATTTTATTTTTAAGACAAGCTCCTTTTTTTTTAAAAAAAATATATTTTAATACAAGGTCTACAGGGT